TGCTTATTGCTAGTTGCACAGCAAAGCAAAGGTAACATTAAATTGAGTCATTGTTCTTGCCAGTCCTCAAAGGAGGCTTAGTCAATTTTTTTAAGACACCACGGTGTCTCAATAGCTGATTTTTACATTTCAGATGTCTGAAAATATTTGAGTTTATTAAATTTTGTTCTATGCACTGATTTCTTCTCTTTTGATCCATTAGGGTCCTAAACGTAGAGACTTCGCAGGCATTTTGTGCAAATTTACCTTCGGTTTGCATTTATTTAAATCATAAAGCCAAAAATATATATACAGAACACAGTGCATATTATTAGCTGTAGCTGCAATCCCTTTGTATCTAGTGTACTATTGGGACACCTAATGTAACTGAAATCCCAGCCTAAGTTTATCCAAAAGACAGTGTCATTTACTCCGCTGCCAACCTTCCCTTCCAGCTGCATTTCTCTGTATTCTGCCTCTCAGCAGTACAGCCACACCTGCCTTACACTGTTTGCCAAATACAACACACACATTCATATCTCCATGCCTTTGACCACACTATTGTCTATTGTTGCTCTCCAGAATACTAAACAAACAAGGAATGAAATAACTTCATACTCCTGAGCGCCTACCATGAGCCAGACGCTTATTGGGCAATTTACAACAATCTCATCTAGTCTCCACAGCAACCCTATAAAGTAGGTATTATTTTTCCTATCTTACACGTGAGAATGTCGACGCACAAAGGTTTCCCCAAGAACCCTCACTGATGTCAAATTCCATTGCCTATTAAGGAACGCCTCTGAACCTGTCTCATCTGGCAGTATCTTAACTTAAATCTCAAACTTTCCTCTCCTGTCTTCCAACCTCCCCAAATGTAACTCGCCACATGCTTCTGGGGGTGGGAGGGGCGTGAAGGGATCACAACCGTTTGCTCTTACCAAACTTTGTAGTTAACATAGCCTATAAATCTAGGATCTTCTTCCTCACTACACTAAGAGCTCCTTGAGGATGGGAATCATGACTTACTCGTTTTTCCCCTTCTGCTTATAGGTGTTCAATAAATGCTTGTCCAAATTAAATGGCCCTCTGTCTTCACCCCCTGGTAAACTGCTATTCCAGACTTCACCACCCCTTCGGCGTTCCTCACCGCAAGAGAAAGGAGCTGACGCTTCACCAGTATTCCCTCCAAATCTTAAAGTCTTTCACAGCCCTTCCTCCCACTGTAGTGTATTGCTGATGCATCTGTCTCCTCCCGCTGGAGGTAGCTCAAGGGCAAGATCAATATCATGCACATTCCTGCCACTGGAAGACAAAAAGTGCTCAAAAGTGCGTAACTGAAGTGGACTATTCCCCCAAATCTAACTTTCTGGGATAAAATGGTCAAGAGGAAAAAAAAAAAAAAGGTGTTACAGATGCACAAGCTTCAAATTTCTTTAGGTTCTTCTGAATAATAAACTTGGATTCCCCATGCAGCTTCCTAAAACACCACCACTGATCAGCTTAGCTGACAGAAGGCAATTCCAGATCAAGAACAAAACCTGCCAGCAAAAATAAAACCCACGTATTGACCTTGGCTCGTCTAGGGAGCACCGTTATTTCTTCGGCGCTGTGTCCATTACACATGGAAGCAACTCCCTATACACATTTAAATAATAAAAACACTAAGTCAGCCGGATGATTGACATGGCAATGATGGGGGTAGAGGAGGGACCCTGGGCTCAGCGAAGCAGACTGACCCCGACCCCGTGTCGGGTCCGCAGACACTGATCTAAGCCCGACGCCACACATCCCCCGACCACTCCACCAGGATGGTCCCCGAGGCCCGTTCTTGGAAGCCACGCGGGTCCCGTCCACCCCACCGGCGTCCCGAGCTGCGGCCCCTGCGCGCCCCCCGCCCGACCCCTACGCGCCCCCGTCGGGCCCCTCACCTCTATTTTCCTCCTCCAGGTACCGCACCCGCAGCTCGTTCTCCGCATTCACCTCAGAGCTGTAGCCTCTCCTCAGGACAGCTCCCCCGGCCGCGGGTGCCCAGCCCTGGGCCCACATCGCCGGCCCGGCGCGCGTGCTCGTCACCGAACCGGGCAGCCCTAGCCCCAGGCCGAGCTGCGCACACCAAGCGGCGACCAAGCGTGCACGACTGGCCTGCAAGGCCCCCAGTGCCCCAGACGCCGTGGCCGCCGCAGCCGCCATGTTGTCTGTTTACGGCGTGGGCCTGCGGCTGCGGCTCCG